ACGTGCCATGCACACACAGGCAGGGGCGACTGGAGCCGGGGGCTTCTTTACCTGCTGCGGCACAGTCCGTGAACTGTTCCCCGATAGTTGCTAACAACAACTCTTTCCAAACTGTGGACTGATGTGGGGAAAGAATAAAAAACAAAAACAAAAACAAAACAAAACACATACAGAATTTTAGACAATTATCTTCAGGAGCTAAACAAGTTACATTTTCTTCACCTTCACATACAAGCATTTCTTGCCCATATATGGAGCCCACAGACGCCTCCAGCTCAGGGGTGTAAACAGCAACGCTTAGTGGCATCTGTTAGAGTGGCTTCCAAATACTTTTACACAGACCCAAGTGACCCTATGTCTTACGAAAGCTAATCTCTAGTGCAAGCCCTGATGAAGTTCAGAAGAATGGGGAGAAATGCATTCCAATGCCTTCTAATTTTCCCATTTCTTTACCTCTCACTTACACAAAATGTATCAATTGATTGTATTTGAATGCTATCACTAAAATCTTTCTCTCTTTTCCTCATTAGTTAAGAAATGCATTCAAAGGGTGCAGCACCATGACTGTAACAAAAGGGTTTTTCTTGGGGCTTAGAAAACACTTCAAAGGTTACACAAGTGAAGAACCCTTAAGAAAATCTCTTGTTTATTGGATACTAGACACTTGCAAAATTCCATTCACTCAAGGCAGACTGTTTATGCTAAGTGATGGAACTTTCTGTGGAAATATACGCAATTTTCCTGGGAGAATTAAGTGTATGCTCTGGTCTACCTCCGATGAGTGGCAAACACTTCCTTCTACCCAAGATCTCCTAAGCTATCTACTAAACAGGCAGAATCCACTCACAGATTATGGTGGCCTAACATTCTTCCAATTATTCTCCATTAAAAAGTTCTTGGTCTCATTAATCTACTTTGCCATGATCCACAGGCTCCAAAGTCTTCCATAACTGGGAGATTATCTCTGACCCAGGTAAGTTATTCCTCTCTGAGCATCGGTTTCCCGGGATGAAAGAGGGGTAATAGGGCCACTTCCCAAGGTGGTTGTGAGAATGAAATGAGTCCACAAATGCATTACAAGGGCTCAGCAGAGTGACTGCAGCAAAATGACACATCTAAGATCCATCTCATAAAGAGCGGCATGTTTGCAAGTGCTCAATTTGCGTGAACTAGAACAATCTTGGTTATGATGATGTCCTGAAGAATAAAAAGCAGCCTAGCTGAATTTTTAACCAAGGCAATGGCAGTTAACCAGGGAAGTGAAAAGACCTCTCGCTCTCAAGGAGGTTTTTCTTTTCTTTTTCCCAGATTCTTCTTCTGGTCTACCAGTCTCCAGAATGCATTGCTTCCATTCTCTAAGGTCCAGCTATGGTCTTTCATGGAGTTAGATGAAACTGGACCAGGGAGAGGAGTGAGGGGGAGACTTTACTCTTCAGCTTGGAATTGAAACAGGTTGTCCCCCAAAGACTCCTGCTCACTTACAACAGTGTGGGCTGAACCCATGGGAGGAGGGCACTTGTGCAGCTATGAAGGCCTCATTACCGGTCACTAAACATGGCCAAGTGAGCTAACGTGGACAGAGAGGACCAAACTACCTTTTAGCCACTTCTCAACAAACGCTGACATCGTGCTTGCTGGAATTCAAAGTCTAGTATGAGCAAATAAAACACACAGAAAGGCAAAAAGCATTTTCAGTGAAAAAAATTTTAAGAAACCTTACATTCTCTCATTGTCTGATATTTGTCTTTTAGGGCGTTAGAGGGGCTTCATGTGCCCTGCCTACTTTATCTGCTCCCCAGACAGTTTTTATTGTATATGGCACATGGCAGGCAAATCTGAGCACTATATATCTCGACTAGCGGTTTAGGCCTTTGGCAAATATTATCAAGTCACATCTTTAGGTATGTGTTCACAAGGAAAGGGCTCGAGTTCAAGCATACGGGTCACACGTTCCAGTTCTCTGAGCTTATCCACATGAAGGAAACCCTGGGAGGTAAGACCATTTTCAAATCATCTTTTTTGGTTTCTCAGAGCTTTCAATAATCCATGGTGGGGTTCACATTCATTTTCAGTCAGTATGAGGAACTGGAGCCCACAGGGAAATCTGGGTTTCTGAGGCTTGGCCATTGTCAACCAGCATCCCATCAGGTTGCCACACCAACCAGGTCCTCACTGGCCCCAGAGGGAGGCTAGACATGGCCTCTTATGAAACCTCAAAGAACGGGGGTGCCAGGCCTCACCATCCTCCATGCCATGGACATTCTCAGAGCTGCTTTGCCCACCCCCACCCTCTCTCTACCCCCCAGATGGCAGATGGATGAGTCTTTGGTGGAGTGGATCCTGCTTCCCACTACATGACACTAACTCCCATGTGTGTTAGGCTGGTGAGGAAATGACTACCCCAGAGATAACCAGCTTTTCTGTGACGTGTGCAAGCCTTTAGCTCTTGTGGACTATGGGATGCAGACAGCGCGATCGCACCATTTCTTTAGAAAATCACCATCATACATTTGCAAAGTGACGGTGTAAGGCAGGAAGTCACCAGATTTCCCAGTCCTAGGCCAGTTTGGTGACCCCCAGGCACGAGATGCTCACACATGCAGCTGACAGCCACCCCAGCTAGCCAGTTCTGTAAAGGGACTAGGACGACCTACCGTGCTGTCCTTGGGGACTTTCATCTTCCACACGCCGCCCTTGGCATTGCTCTCCTCTTCCCTGGACCAGAGACCAACGGGGAAAGTTACACTCGGCTTTATGTCACTTAGGGGAACTATTTCTATATACCTTTAGTTTCATTAAGAGATGACCTTAAAAACAAAACAAAACAAAACCCAAAAAGGGGGGGCATTTTTCAATAAAGTCTCCCCGAGTCCTGTTTTGTTATGTTTTGAAGATTTTTGCCAGAGGGTGCATGTGCTCACTCGAGAGACAGAGACAGTGAGAGGGAAAGTGAAAAAGCAACCCTCATGGGGATGGTCATGCCACAATCCCTTCTCCTCCTTTTCCCTCCTGGAATTTTGGGCCCACATGCACATGTACCCAACTTGAGTTTCAAACTGCCAGGTCTGGTACTTGAACCACGGTGGCTATGTGGGAGTCCAGCACCTCAACTACCATGCCACCTGCTGGTCCCTCTCCCAGGTCTTCTATTGGAAGTGGCAGCAGATAAAAGAAAAAGGAAAGGACAGGGATGGGTAGGGAAGAAAGCAGAATTCAGTGGTCGCGAGGACAGGGAGGAGGCTGGGGACATGAAGTCCTCCTCCTCAGGAGGAGGTGTAGCGAGGTGTCCTGGACTCTCTGGAGATGGACAACAGATGCAACTGCTTCATACCTGTGAAGGCCCTTCCCCTGCAATGGCAGATGTCTCAAATCCCCATTGTGTCATTGGCCTCACAGGGATTCCCTGCTGTGGACATCTGCTGTGCGTTCCTACTCCCTCTCTGGTAAGAGCACCCCCATTTTCCTTTAAGGTGCCATCTTATCCCCTATTCTTACATCACATCCACTGAGATAGGGTGGATTACAAATTCTAGCTTCTAAGACGGGCTTATGACCCAGACTTGCCTGTTAGAACCTTGCTTCTTCCTAGCCTCTGTGACTGGCCAGGGATGGATGGAAAGGGGACCCACAGTGGGCCAATGAGAGCCAGGCCTGAGAGTTTATGGGGCCTGGTAAATGCTGACACTGATAAATGTACGAGGTGAAAGACCACCTTCCCATCATAAATGGGAGAAAACCAAACCTAAAATTAAATCTGGAAATTAAATCAATGCAGAAGAAAGCAAACGTAATAGTGACAGATTATTGTTAGCACCTGAGCACCCAGATCTGCCAGAAATCAATTCTAACAGCAGAATTCTTAGCGAACCTCCTAGTTACAGCTTCTACAAAATTCTGTTTTTTGCTCAAACGAGGTTTCCGTCATTTGTGACTAAATGATACGTTTCCATTTTATTCATAACTAAATAATTCAGGTGTGATCTAAGGATTTGTTACTAAGTGGGACTCTAGCTCCCGACATCACACTATTCAAGAGGAGGAGACTTCCCCCAGCACTCTGGACCCCAATCAGTATCTAAGTTTACTGTGTAGTCCATGGGAGAGCCATGTCTCAAATGGTAGCCCTTTCATGAAGAGGACTTCATGTCCCCAACCTCCTCCCTGCCCTTGTGGCCACTGAATTCTCCTTTCTTCCCTCCCTATCCCTGTCCTTTCCTTTTTATCTTCTTCCATTTCCAATAGAAGGCATAGGGGAGGCACCAGCAGGTGGCATGGTAGTTGAGGTGCTAGACTCCCCAAAGCCCCCATGGTTCAAGTCCCAGACCTGGCAGCTTGAAACTCATTCCATAGTCATTTCCCTCCCAACTTGACTTCAAATGACATGTCAGACACTTACCAAAGTGGTCGCCTCTCTCCTCTCATTAAATGGTAACTACATCTCAAAGGCAGGCTAGTCACAGGAGGGATGTTATTGTACACACTCCAGAATATCTTTAAAAGAAAAATATTTTGTGTAATAAACCCAGTATTGATCTACTATGCAATTCCATTATAAAACTAATGCATTAAAGAAAAAAAATGTTATTCTTAGGAACACCTATTCATTCAAAATAGATTTTTCTCAGTATCCCTTCTCATTTTCTGTTAGAAGAGGTAATATAACAGTAAAGCTTGTTCCTTGCTAATGTGCAGCCAGGTTCTGGGTTTTAGGGTAGGCATTAAGGAAACATTCCTGTTATATACAACTGGAAAGGATCTTGCCAATGATTTTTCTGACTTGGAATCTAATAAGACCCGTATTAGATAATTAGACAATGAGGACTGAATATGTGGCCCGACTGTATTTCCTTACTATAGACCCTGTCTTCATCCTAAGCCAAGAAGGAGTCTGTGATGCTCCTAGGGGATTGAAGAATGAAGGAGGAAACAGGAGGAACCCCTTCCCTGCTCTGTCCTCCTTCCTCCTCACTCCTAGAGGAAAGAGGGAAGGGGTTAGTTACTGAAGCAGAAGGCAGTCAAGATATGGACTGTCTATGTGTCCCCCAAAATCCATTATGTTGAAAGCCCAATCCCCAGTGGGATGCTATGAGTAGGTGGGGGCTTTGGGAGATGATTAGGTCACAAGGGTAGAGACCCCCATAATGGAATGAATGTCGTGTTTTGTTTTGTTTTCCCTTATCTTTGCTCTACGGCATGTGTGCTTGTTGGAGAGAGAGAGAAAGAGAGAGAGAGAGAAATCACTCCCTAAAGGGATGGCCATACAACACTCCCCTCTCCTCCATTCTCCTCTCAGTGTTCTGGACATGTGCACACTTGTACCCAGCGTGTTTTTGTTTGTTTGTTGTGTTCTTTTCAAGCTGCTGGATTCAGACTTGCATCACACAGCTGTGCAGAATGCAGTCACCTTAACTATCTTGCCACATGGCTGGCCCTGGGATGAGTGTCCTGATAAGAGGAAGAAAAGAGCTATCCCTCTACAAGGAGAAGCCGTCTGCAAATCAGGCAGTGGGCCCTCATCAGACCCACCAAGCTGGCCCCCTGATCTTGGACTTTCAGCTTCCAGAGTGTGAGAAACAAAGGGCACAGTAGCCTCCTTTAAGACCCAGGGTAACTGGTAAACAGAAACAAATCATACCAAAATAATAAAGTACTAGCAAGGAAACAGTAACACTGGGAACAGCAACAGGGACATTCACTGAGCTGTGGTATGCCAGGCGCTGTCCTAGGATGTTTACATGGTTACGCGCTTTACCCTAATGCAACTCCAGGAGGAGGTATCATGGGCCCAGCAGGTGGCACAGTGGTTAGGGTATTGGACTCTCACATGGTCAACCGTGGTTTGAGTCTTGGACTCAGCAGCTTGAAACTGATGCTGGGTGTGTGTGTGTGCATGCGTGCCCAAAATCCTGAGAGGAGACTGGTGGAGAAGGGATTGTGGCGTGGCCATTCCCCTGGGGGGAGATTTCTCGCTTTCTGTCTCTCTGTCTCTCCAGTGAGCACACATACCCAATAGCAAAAATCTCTCTCTCTCTCTCTCTCTCTCTCTCTCTCACACACACACACACACAAAAGAGGAGGTATGAGTATTACCATGTTTCACAGAAAAGGAAAGTATTACCAAGTTTCACTCCTTGGAATGAGATGCAGGATTAGGACAAGAATCAAAGCTACAAAAAAGAAAACACATTGGAGTGTGTTCGGAATGGGTCACAGAATTCCTCTGTGAGTGAGAAACCTCATTCTATGTGGTGAGGTAAGTAAACAATGATGATCTAGGTGTACTGGTAGGTCTGGGAAAAGCACCAGCAATTAGAAAAATGAATTCTAGGGCCCGATGAATTAAGTGTTGCGATGGAATAGAATTTTCTTTTTTAAAAAATCTTGCACCCCGTGAGATTTTGAAGTCACCAGCTCCAGGACTTGAACCGTGGTCGGTCATGTGGGAGTCCATCAATGTAACTGCTATGCTATCTGCTAGACTTGACGGTGGAATGGAATTTTATCAATGCTGGATGGTAATCATAATGGATGGTTCAAGCTCATTTTGTATAAATACAAATAAGCTGAATTACTTTGTAAAGGTGGCACCGATGAACACTTAAGAAAAAGCTAAAAGCAAAAACCTACACGATGGTAGATCTACTAACTTAAAATCCATCTTGGACCCCTTTTATTAGAATGGGCTAGTGGAGGGAGTGGCTAAAAGTAGACTCGTAGTAACAGCTGTTTTCCTAACAAGTATCATTTTTACAGAGATGCCTAACCTAGGGACCGGCCGGTGGTATGGTGGTTAAAGGAGCTGGACTCCCATGTAGTCGAATGCAGTTCAGGTCCTGGACCTGGCAGCTTGCTTTCTCTCTCTCTCTCTCTCTCTCTCTCTCTCTCTCTCTGTCCCTCCCTGGTCAAACTGAAAAATAAATAAATAAAGTTAAAGTTTAAAAAGAAAAGATGCAGATATTATTTAAAAACAAAACAAAAAAAAAGATGCCTATCCTACAAATGCGTTATTTTTAATTTTTTTTTTCTTTGTCATGGTCACATGCACTTGCTGGGGAGAAAGTCAGAAGGAAAGCAAGAAATTACCCCCGGAGGGGATGGCCACACCACAGTCCCATCTCCTCTCAGGACTTTGGGCACACATACACAAGCACCTGACATGATTTTCAAGCTGCCTGGCCCAGTACTTGAACTGCAGTTGACTATGTGGGAGTCCAGCACCCTAACCACAACACCACCTGCCGGTCCCAAAATGCTTTGCTATTAAATGTGCAAATGAAAGTACTCCGACACCTTCCTTTCTGTCGGTGGTGTGCGTGTGGGTAGCTACAGCTGGAATCCGAACCCAACCAATTTGATTCTAAAGTCTCTGTTGCTAACCACTGAGGTATTTTCTCTGAAGATACCATTCCACTCTATGCATATCTTTCTCCACATTTGGGAGCTGTGGACCAGGTCATGGAAGCACAGAAGGAAAGACACCCATTAGAGATGCTTCCCCATCAGTAAGGTGCCCTTACTTAACTTCTTTTGAGTTTGGTGGTATCTGAACTCAAGCTTGAGACCCCTGCGATGGCGTGGCAATGTCCTCTGTAGAATGCATAGACAGAATGACACTGAAATGAAAACCTCCCCTGAAGGGGAAACCAAGAGGACCTCAGTGATGGCAAACTTCAAGTCTCCTAAAACAAAATCTTAAACTAAACTGGGGAGTTCAGTTCTCAAATCCAGATTTTCCACTTAGTGTTTGAACAACCTCCACACAGCACAACAAAATACGTGTCCCGGTTCAAAGACAAGAAACACACTCTCAGGACCATGCTAGGAATCGGAGCCTCGGAAGTTTCTCTTGAAAACACCAAACAGAAACAGACAACTGACTCCATGGGTTTTGGCAAACGAGTCAGGAAGAAACTACAGCCCAGAAGATACGGGGATAGACTGGGTCTGACCTCACGTGATAAAGACGTGTTTGCACATTTGGGCGTGAATTCAAGAAGGGAGCAACCACGGGAAAGAGCTCTATTAGAAACGCACATGGCATTGAATCAGTCTGTTTCCTTTTGCAAAACTTGTGTAATATGCAGAGTCTGTGTTCAGTGTGTGTGACGGTGAAGGAGCTGAGGGAAAGAATGTCGCACTCAGCTCCTGAGACCCTCCTCTTCCCATGGATGGGAAAAGGCTGCCACATGGGAAGCTTGACAATTCATGACTACTTTCTCAGTAACACCCTATTTAAAAATTCAAATTCCTGGGACCAGCAGTTGGCGTAATGGCTATGTCGCTGGACTCCCATGTAGTCGACCACGGTTCGCGTCCTGGACCCAGTGGCTTAAACTAACGCTAGGCGCGTGTGCATGCGTGCCCAAGATCCCAAGAGAAGAATGGAGGAGAAGGGACTGCGGCATGGCCATCCTCCCCGGGGGGGGATGATTTCTCGTTTTCTGTCTCTCTGTCTCTGTCTTTCTGGCAAGCATACGTGCCCTATAGCGAAAATGTATCAAAAAAAATTCATATGTAAGAAACCTGCATCTGTTGTATATAAATGTATTTCAAAAAACTATAGGTTTTTTTTTTTGTTTGTTTGAGAGGTTTTTGCTATAGGGCGCATGCACTCACCAGAAAGACAGAGAGAGACAGAGAGACAGAAAGTGAGAAATCACCCCCTAGGGGGGATGGCCACGCCGCAATCCTTTCTCCTCCTTTCTCCTCTCAGGATCTTGGGCATGCATGCACATGCGCCTGGCATGAGTTTAAGTCACCGGGTCTGGGACTCGAACCACGGTCGACTACATGGGAGTCCAGCGACATAGCCATTACGCCAACTGTTGGTCCCAAAAAACTATAGTTTTAAGGACATGTTTCCTAGTACGTGACCGCCTGGGTACTTTAAACGGTTCTTTGAAGACCCTAACATGCTGCATGTTTCACATGCTCTGTGTTACCGTGTATAATCAGGAGACCAAGCCATCCCTGAATCTGCCTCTGCCAACGTCTGCCCTGGCGTCCCACGTACAGCTCTGATGACCCAACGTCATAATGGACTGGAAAAAGTTTAATGAGTACCTCGAAAAAATCCATAGCATCTTGGAGCTTCCACATGAGGACAGGCCTTAAATGCTCTGAGGTTTACAAAGTGGCTGCAGGGAAGAGGGGACAGGAGCTGACATGTTCACAGAAGGGGAGAAGCGAGGAGAGGCCTTGTGCAGACGCGGAGGACATGCCTTTCTCTGGACCCGGGCCCGCGTGCTGCCTGGTGACACCGCCTGCACTTGGCACTGAGCGACTGTTTACAGCGGCTCTGTTATTTTGCTGTCCACACGTTTCTGTCACTTTCCCAGCAAGATCAGAAACGGCACCGGGTCAGGACTGTCTCTCCACCCGGTTTACGGTCCTCAGTGCCACTGACAGCACCTTACAATCGGACTCTGGGACCGTGAAACTATGAATACCACATTTTGTGGAACAGGTATTGGGACCAGGGTATAATGCAGAGTCTCTGTAGCTACTTTTGCATGTGAGAAGCCGCCTAAGAGATACGATCTTGGCGCCAATCTCCTGGAATTTCTAAGATGTTTAAAGACTTGGGGGCACAACAGGGAAACTATTTAAAATCTGTCTCCTCTAGAAAATTCATGGGCATATGGTTGATGCAACTCTGAAGCAGCCTCAAAAGCTTTATCCTATCTGCAACATATTAAACTAGGAGAGGGGAGGAACTTGATAGAATTCGCTTTTGAAGAAAATAGAAATGTGATCAACTAAATAAATCTGGTTTTCGTCTTTTTTTTTTTAAATTATGTTCACCCTCAGAGTTAGAAAAAGAACTAATAGAACGAAGAGCTTACACTTGTTGAGAACCTGCTGTGTATCAAGTATGTGCCTAAGCACCGTGTAGACGCCCTCTTAATCGAACCTCACCGTAAGCCATGAAGGCAGGTGCTATGTTTATGCCAACCTCACAGGACATCCAGGTGTTGAGACACCTTTGCTCCTCATCACACGAGTGTGCTTCTCATGTGGGTCTAGGAAGCATTCAGAAGTCAAGCTTTAGCAGTTGCCAAGAGAAGGGAGGCCACTCAGTGTGTGCTTAGCACCCTCTAGGCTGGATGTGATCAGCACCAGCTGCACAGAACAGGCCCGAGGGCCAGGGCCAGAGCAGCACCCTAGACAAGGTTGACTAAGTGTCCCACGTGCACCATCTTGGCCCAGCGCGTCCCTTCCTCGGCCTTACCTGGACTGTTTGTACAGTGTAGATTTTCTTCAGATTCGACGCGCACTCAGCAGCTGTGGCCCCGGGGAGGGATCTGCACACACGTAAGCCAGAGAACAAAGACACAAACCAAACAGTCAGTGTTCAAGAAACCGTCCACAGGGAACCCTACGGCTCTCCCTAAGACTCAGTTCTAACACACACAACTGGACACTTTGGGATGCTGGCTGGAATTACAAGTGTGAAATTCCTACTTTATGAAGTTATGTGCTTGCATCTCCTAAAATCAGCATATTTTTTCTGTGGAGATGTAATAGCAAAAAAGGAAAAGTATGTAAGAAAGGTACTGGAGGGAACCAGCAGTTAGCGTAATGGCTATGTTGCTGGACTCCCACGTAGTTGACAGCGGTTTGCGTCCCAGACCCAGTGGCTTAAAACTCACACTGGGCGCGTGTGCGTGCGTGCCCAAGATCCCGAGAAGAGAATGGAGGAGAAGGGATTGCGGTGTGACCATCCGCCCTGGAGGGTGATGTCTCGCTTTCTGTCTCTATGTCTCTCTCTGTCTGTCTGGCGGGCACACACGCCCTATAGGGAAAACCTCTCCAAAAAAAAAAAAAAAAAAGAAAGGTACTGGACACCTTACCATCACATTTTTTTTCCCTAACCAACTAAGTTTTATTTGCTGCATAATAAGCTATTTTACATATTTCATCTAGAAAACTACTAAATTTGAATAAAGATATTAGACAATGAATTAGAACCCAATTAAAAATTGCTCTGGGGGAGAGGACACCAAGATTCTATTCAAGTAAGGAAAACACTGTTATAGGCTGAGTTCTCTTCAGTTATTTTCACACCTATTAAGCCATGAATGCATAGGGAATAGGTTCCAGTAGCTCAGGCTCCTTTCCATTGGTTCTCACAGGTGTGCTTCTCCGGTGGAGCAGGCTGGAGCCTCAGTTGAACCCAGGTACCTTTCTCTTTGGCTTCCTTCTTTTCTGATCATTTTCCTTCACACATTTTAGGAAGCTAGCTCTGCTCTTAGAATACTTCATATGCTTAATACCCACATTAATTCTCTTGGCAAGAATATTGCCCTTGTTTGTTTACCACAATGCCAACAGCATGCTGGGTAACACTGTAGACTCTTCCAGTTTGGCCTTGGTAACATTTGGGGGGCATTCTTTTTTAAACAGTATCTATTCCCTTGACATCTACAGTATTACCTTTCTTGTAGATCTGCACGTATGTTGCCAAAGGAACCACTCTATATTTTCTTTTTGTCTTTTTAATGGAGAGATTTTGGCTATAGGGTACATGTGCTTGCCGGAGCAACAAAGAGAGACAGAAAGACAGAAAGTGAGAAATCACCCCCCGGGGGGGATGGCCATGCCTTAATCCCTTCTTCTCCATTCTCCTCTTGGGATCTTGGGCATGCACATGCTGCTGGTGTGGGTTTAAGTTGCTGAGTCTGGGATTCAAACCATGGTGGACTACGTGGGAGTGCAGCGACATAACCATTACACCATCCAGTGGTCCCAGCCACTCCATGTTTTCTAAAAGGCCTTGAGAACATATATAGGTGTCTCTCCTCTTCACTTTTGTGTTTGACATATCGGTGAATTACGAGAAGATGGTGGTTCCAGCCAAAAGGGCCACCACATTTTTTAAAAATACTGAAAGAAGCTAGGAATGACCAAACATTTTTTTGCCTAGGATCTTTGATAAGAAACTGCCTACTGCACAGATGACAATGCAAATGCAGTGTCCTAGCAGGTGATGTTTGAAACCTTGTTGGTATCTCTGGGGTAAACGGCCATGCACACTTAAGAAACAGAGTGATCGCTTGCCTATTTAAAGAGATATTATTACTAAAGGCTAACTTTGGTTTCATCGGAATGTGTTTGTACACATTTCTAAAACATCTGCCTTTAGAAAATACTTTTCAGCTATTTTCTCTGGCTGACTTAACGAGCTCCGAGCTCCGCTGAACTAATGCATGGCCAGAATGCATTAATCTCTAGTTTGCTATATGTTCCACTAGATGGCAACATACTACAGGTTTACCCACCAGGAAAACCAGGCAATTTCACTGGCTTTACCATGCACCATTGATTTCCTGGCTTGGGGGTAAAAATGACATGGACGCACATTGGGCTCTTCAATCCCTAGGAGTTAAGATTCTCAATTCCTGCTCCTGTTCTTTCTCTCTACATGGAATTGGCAGCTCGTGTTCAAGAATGTTGAACATTACATCAGGCCTAAGGTGGTATTTCACCATACAAGCAATGCTCAAAAGCCCCAGTGAGAAGTAAGAGGCTGGCTGAGAGGAGAATTGGCTCACAGCTAAACACACAGATGTGGAATCTATAAATGGAATCTAAAAAAGGAACACTCTTTACCAGTCACTGACCCCCATAGATGTGATCTCTAGGGACCCCCAACATGCACTTTTTAGTGGTTGCTACACCATAGCTACTGGAGACATAGGGTCATACGCAAAGCTCACACTAGCCAGAGGCAGAGGCAATGCACAGGTCTGGGCCTTTGCAGGTAGGAGCAAGTCAGCAGGCTCTAAGGACCACATTCCATGAATAACCGATGGATGATGTGTTGAACCTCAACATCCATAGCTCCATGGTGCCTCTGTACTGTGCTACTCAAAAGAAGCCAGATCCCACATGATGACTGTGGTTCCAGCCCCTGGTCGGGTCAGTCTGAAACACTGGGCATAGATGCAAGTGCCCAAGATCCACTGGGCCGACGGCATGGAGGAAGGGGAATGTGGGGTGACCAAGCCCTATAGACGGTGCATCTTTCTCTCTCAGGTGCATGTCCACATGCTCTACCATTTGTAAAGAAATTTTTAGGGACCAGCACACGCTGTGGTGGTTGGGGCACTGGAGTCTGACATGGCTCACTGTGGTTCAAGTCCCAGACTTGGGGCCTGCCTTCTCACTTTCCCCCTCTCTCTCTGGGAAGTATATGTGTCATAAAGCAAATTAAAAATAATAATAGTGATAATGGGTAAGATGAAATATTCTTTAAAAAAAAAAGAAAAAAAAATACATTCCTGAATGCAGTTCCCTCATTTGGAAGTCACTAAGGAGGAATAATTAGACTAGTCTGGGGGCAAACAAAGAACCGCCTCGCTGGACAGGTGGAATCTGAGATAAATGTACCCTCAAGCACTGATTTTACACCTTGTTTCTAGTTGTTACAAGTCTGCCGGACATTGTTTTTAAAAAGCAATCCACAATAACTGTCATGACTGTGTTTTGCTGCCAGATTCGAAGCCTAAAATACCCACACCGAGCAGTGCAGTGTGGAGTGAGGGACTCAGTCAGCACCTCCTAATGACAGCCCGTGCAGCCCTGATGAAACACATCGGCCCAGATGGGCTGGCTGAGCTTGTGGTTACTAAACTTTGACTTGGGTAAACATTAATTTGCTATTTCATACAGGGCTTTCCTCCTTTTTGGCTTAAATTATGGAAAGACTGGGAATGAAAATAAACAAATGAAAAAACCCTCCAACTTTTTCTGAGATTTTTCACATGGAGAATCTTCTGCTTTTCTATCAGTCTCCTCACATGTATTTCAACAGTGACTTTTCTTGCATTGACAACTTTAGCTGACCTCTCCACCAAATACGCTTAGCAGATATATTCCTGGATTCCCCAAAGCACCTAAGAAACTAGAAGGGGACTTGAAAAAGTTCATAGAAAAAAAGAAAGTTAAAATAGTGCAAAAAAAAATTGTTTTTAAATAAGATACTTTTCATGAACTTCTTGAAGACTATTCATGTATACAGGGCTCCTTCCCTAACTCTGTGTGTATGTGTGTTGGGGGAGTGGGCTTAGGGTCCAACAGGAGGAAATCTACTTTGCTTTTTTTAGATTTGTACTATAGGGCACGGGTACTGACCAGAGGGAAGAGAGAAAAAGAGAGGGGAAGTGAGAAATGCCCCTCCACGCACCAGGGTGCATGGCCAAGTCACAGTCCCTACTCCTCCATTCTTCTCTTGGGATTTTGTGTACACACACACACGAGCCTGGTGTGATTTTTAAGCTGGCAGGTCCAGAGCTGGAGCAGCGGTCACCCATGGGGGAGTCCGGCACCTTAACTACCATGCCACCTGCTGGCCCCTGCATTTTGTTTATTATAAACTATGTATTTCCTGGCCAGCCTGTGGCACGGTGATTAAAGAAGTTATACTCCACATGGTTGACCATGCAGTTCACGCTCCAGACCTGGTGGCTTGAAAACACGCTTGGCATGTGTTTGTGTGTGTCCAAAATCCCAAAAGGAGAGAGAAATGGAGGGGAAGGGATGCGATGTGACTAGACCCCAGGGAAGAGCTTTCACTCTCTGTCTCTCTCTCTTTCTCTCTCTGGGGGAGCAAACACATACCCTGGCAAAGTTTTTTAAAAATGTATTCCCAATAGCTTACTCATTTTTTTAAAGTTACAGGTCAGTGTAGGATGGTTCAGAATGAGTATAATTTGAGTGTTCACCTCATAAACCATGAGGTTGATTTTTACAACTACCATGTTAGGATTATACCTTTATCCCAGAAATAAAACAAAACAGGGAACCAGCAGTTAGCATAATGGCTATGTCCCTGGACTCCCACGTAGTCGACTGTGGTTCGAGTCCCGGACCTGGTGACTTAAACTCACACCAGGCCGGTGTGCGTGTGTGCCCAAGATCCCGAGAGGAGAAAGGAGGAGAAGGGACTGCGGCATGGCCATTCCCCCTGGGTGGTGGTTTCTTGCTTTCTGTCTCTCTGTCTCCCTCTGTCTTTCTGGCAAGCACATGCGCCCTATGGAAAAAAAAAAAAAAAAACCCCAAACAAAGAACCGCCTCGCTGGACAGGTGGAATCTGAGATAAATGTACCCTCAAGCACTGATTTTACACCTTGTTTCTAGTTGTTACAAGTCTGCCGGACATTGTTTTTAAAAAGCAATCCACAATAACTGTCATGACTGTGTTTTGCTGCCAGATTCGAAGCCTAAAATACCCACACCGAGCAGTGCAGTGTGGAGTGAGGGACTCAGTCAGCACCTCCTAATGACAGCCCGTGCAGCCCTG